GACCCATCTGACTGAACACACAGGTGTGGAAACTGACCGATTCATCATGGTTCTGTTGGCTGACCAAGCCAAAGCCTTGGTTACTCCCAAACGGCAGATGAGGTGGCATCCTCTAGTCATAAGATGGTGCTTACAGCATTTTCACTCCAATGCAAAGTATAATGCTTGGTCAAAGTCAGGATTCCTGAAACTGCCCTCTGGGCGAACACTCAGAGACTACAAGAACTTTTCATCAGCTCAGAGTGGTTGGCAGCCCTCAACAATAACACGAATGAAAGACACATTTGAGAGAAAGAAGATTGACAGTCAGGGCAAGACTGGCCTGCTTGCCTTTGACGAAGTCAAAATAAAGGAAGGGCTTGTGTGGAACCCTAATACAAATGAACTTGTAGGATTTACTGATCTTGATGACATGCCTGTCAATCTTTCTGAAAACACCTCATCACCTTCTGCTCATGTACATGATCAGGTAGCCACACATGTCATGCAGTTTATGTTTAAAAGTCTGTTTGCTCCTTTCACATTTCCTGTGGCATATTTCATGACGAAAGGCATGACAGGAGTACAGATTAATAGAATGTTCTGGACTGGTGTTGGTTTACTGAGTGACGCGGGTTTTCAGGTTCTTGTTTCTGTTTGTGATGGTGCCTCGGCCAATCGATCATTCATCAGAATGAATTGTAATGATGGGCACATGTGTCAAAACCCATATAGCTGCGGCCCAATCTTCTTCATGTCTGATCCTCCACATTTAATGAAGAAGCTACGAAACAATCTATACAGTAGCGGCTCAGAAACGTATCACACAAGGTGTCTGCAGTATGGCCGTTATCAGATCATTTGGAAACATGTCGAATCTGTGCTGTACAGGGACAGAAAACGGTCTCTTGCACTGACCAAGCTGACAAGGCAACATGTGTTCTTAGATAGTTGGTCCAAGATGCGTGTGAACTTAGCCATTCATACCTTATCTGCTCAGGTGAAACAAGAAATGTCTGAGTTTGAAGACAAAGTGACAAAGGGAACTCAGATGTACATGTCACAATGTCATGCTTTTTGGGAAAGTTGTAATAGCAATGTACCTTTGACAAGTAGTGATGATCCCAGAATGACTGCCTTACAGAATGTACAGAATTGGTTCTTGTTCTGGAAGAGAGAGTTAGAAGGGCAACTGCATGCTAAATCACTAGTAGCCAAACATTTCATCAGCTGGCAGACACATGAAGATCTTAATTTGACCATCAATTGTTATTCTAGTTTGATTGCTTATGTATCATCTGCACCATTCCAGGCCATCTATCCTGGTGTGTATATCATTCCTAAGAGACTGAACCAAGACTGTGTTGAGAATTTCTTTTCTCTTCAGAGAGGAGCCGGTGGGGGGAATACTAACATGACAGGGTATGTGTATGGATATAATGTGCAGAATATTGTGTCTACAAGTACCTGCAAAGCCGAGCTGCAAACAAATACTTCAGGTCCAGTTGACCTACAAGAAATGGCCTCTGATGTCCTCCCCAAACGTCGTAAGAAAGAAACTGAAAATGTGCGTGTCCTATGGCCTGTAGTCTTGTAGTTGTAGCTGAAACATATATGCTACACACGTGTGTACCTGCAAGTAATAAGACATAAACTTCTCAGCACTGATGACATTTACATGTAACAAAAAAGGTTTGCTTGTGAAAGATACAGAACGTTCTGTCTAAACATGAAACATTAGGTCATCAAACTGTAAAATGTAAGAAAGCCTGCAATGTATATTATGCTGTAACATAATCTAACAATCCTTATGGTAAGGAACCTGCCTCACAAACATGAGTTATATTAAATTCTAGTTTTACTTTAGTTAGGTACTGGTGTGCAGGGTATAATGTTATATAATTGCACACTGTATAAATGCCATCCTTGCTGACATTATTGGGATACCCGTGTTAACATACGAAATGTACACATGAACATGATATTCATCGTGCTACACGTAATATCAAACCAGACTGAGTGACTGATCAGAATATGTTGAATTCAACTTCAAAGAAATATATATTTTGTCTCAAACTAAATCCTATCATGTGCAGTCATCACTACGTAATGCTCTAGTCTAGAAACAAACACAACAGCATATACAATTATGGGTCAGACACCAATGGCATGATATTAGAAGTCTTCAGTATCATGGTAATTTGTAGTGAGACATGCATAGTTATGTTTTATTCCAGTTTGAATGAAGATCAGTTGATGATCTTTGAATCAAGCTTTAGCTAGGGATGCGTCTTTGAATTCATGCCAGCACTTGTAAACAAGATGGCTGCCCAATTTAAGCAAATGTTAGGTCAGTTTGAAAATCTATATTTCTGGATCAAATGAATAGATCTCTTCAATATCCCAACATAATTTAAGGGGGTATATGTAGTTATGTTTTACTTGACTTTGAAGAAGATCAGTTGTATTTTTTTAAATTTATGCCAGCACTTGAAGTTGAGGAATGTAAACAAGATGGCCACCAAAATGTTAGGTAACTTTGAAAATTAATATTTCTACATCATATACACAGATCTGTTCAACATCCTGACATAATTTAAGGGGGTATATGTACTTAAGTTTTATTTGACTTTGAAGAAGATCAGTCGATTTTAAAAAAATTATGCCAGCACTTGAAGTTGAGGAATGTAAACAAGATGGCCGCCAAAATGTTAGGTAACTTTTGACAGTCTATATTTCTTCATCAAATGCCTGGATCTCTTCCATATCCTGGAATAGTTTGGGGGGATATATTTTGCTGTGTTTCATGTCATTTTAAACAAGATTAGTTGATTTTTTTGAATTTATGCCAGCACTTAAAGTTCACACACTGTAAACAACATGGCTGACTAAATTTTAGGTAAGTTTGACAGTCTATATTTCTAAATAAGAAGTTGGCATCTCCTTAATATTCCAGAATGTGTTGGAGTGATGTATGTAGTCATGTTTGATTTCACTTTGCAGAACATCAGTTGAATTTTTATGATTTATGCCAGTGCTTCAAGTTCACAAGGTGTAAACAAAATGGCTGCCCAAATTTCAAGGAACTTTGACAGTCTCTACTTCTGGATCAAAAGTCCTGATTTCTTTCATATTCCGGAATATGTTGGTTTGATATATGTATTGAAGGTTTATCCTACTTTCAAAAAGATCGTGTCATATTTTTGAATTTATGCCAGCGCTTGAACCAAACACACTTTGTTCAGTGGGTGGGAGGGGGGCAAATACATTGTGGATTCAATTTCTCAACATCGGTTCCACTGATTATTTTCAGGTTTTCAGTGCTAAAAGGGCCCATATAGTAGCAATGAAATCAGTGCTTCAAATGCGACTTCGAACTACCATACTATCACAGATCAAATTTTAATGTCGTCAGAGGGCACAAACTGCAGTTTCCCAGGACGAAAGGTTCAGAAACAGGGCAATCGGCTCTTCTATAAGTACAAGTCACATGAAAGATGAAGCACCAATGTATCCTACGTCTGTACGTACCTGGTATGTAGTCTTGCGTGGTCATCCTGGTGAACTGTGATCTGTTTTCCAACATGCACTTCATGAGCCGCCATCTTGCTTGGCGGCCATTTTGTAACAAGCCTAAATTCCCATAAAGCATTGTGTTTCCCCACCCCTTCCCACCCTGCCGCCTGCTAGAAATCGCTTTTGATACATGGCGCAGAGGGTCATTTTGTGACGCGCCGATTTGAGGCATAGACATGGTCACATAAAAGTCGATAGCACAGTCAAAATGGACAGATCAAGCACATAAATGGCTCTTCGTTATCGAGACAAGTTGCAGTACAGTTGAGGATTCAAAAATTATTCAAAGATGAGATATGTAGAGACAAAGTTAACGTTCAGAATGCTGCCTTATGGCTCATTTCGGCGTAGATTTCGCACTGCATGGGGGTTTCCGCCTTACCGATTTCCAGATTATCTTATCTACTTCCGGGTCGAAGCCTTTAGAAGGGGTCACAGTGGCTGAACGTAAGTACACCCTGTACTAGGGCTGCGTACCTAAACGTAACATCAGGTACAGGTACAGGTACTGGTACAGAGGTTTAGGTACAGGTCCGGACCTGTACCTGTACCTGAACAATTTGACAAATTAACACGTGTTCTTCACTTTTTCAATCATGACACAGAAACAATAATAAAGTGTTGGAGGGAAGGGAAAATGACTGACCTCTGACCTGATTTGAGTTTGTTGACCAATCACAACCCTGGATCAACCACACTCTCGCGATGTCTCGTGAGACTGAGGATCTCAAATCAATCGACGGTGTTTACGTCTTTTCCAGTGCTAATTTTTCGTCTTTGTGGTAGGATTTACCTATATTTAGTCATATACATGGTGTAAACTAGGTATTTCGGTACATACTCGTTACTTCATGATCCGGTATTTTGGACCTGTACCGAAACGATTTTTACGGTATTGGACCGGTACAGTGTACCGGTCCGCAGCCCTACCCTGTACATGCGCTGAATATTTGCCCCTTTTTTGGCGACGCCTCAGGGGGGAGCCTAATGGTACAGTATTGTGTGCAGTTTGCAAGAATTCTAGGAATTGCACAGGCATTTTTTTCCACAGGAATGGAATGTCTACAGGCATGTCTGGGATTTTGCTGGCACACATCTATGCCCACATTCCTACGTAGTGAAATTCCAGGAAACCCTTGGGACATTGTGGAAATTGTACAGATTCACAACTGAGCAGACACATGCTGATTTACATCCCTGTCCACTCCCATGCAACATTATCTAGCTCATATAGCTATAGCTCCCATGATGTTAATGAAGTAAGCAGTAAGTGAGTTTTCTGAATTAGTGTAGAACATCTTCCCCTACGTATCATCGACAGTCTTCAACTCTGCTGCCCCGGAGGCTAATTGCCAGTTACAAACATAAAAGAAGAGCAGTATATAAAATAACTAAAATCTACAAATGAAAGGTATTTGTCTAAAATTATAGCTATGTCTAAAACTATGTCTGAAGGGTTTGAATTCTCTCTTGTAAACTGAAGAAGACATGTGTATATCTGTAAGTCAGAGTCCTTCTCAGCATTTCCCCCAACATGTTCAGGGTCACAATGTTGATTCGGAATGCCACAAAGAGGAGTATCCATTGTGATCTAATACCGGTATGTCTTTAACACGTTGCAATAAAGTTAGTCTACGGGTATTTGTTGGAAGGCTTTGCTGTAAGAGGAGAGCATCCATTTGAAGGGAATGTGAGGTTGTGCCCATTTGGACCAAGCATCTACCTAATTCTGCTCTACAGGCGACATTGCTACTATTTCTAAATAGATATAATAAGAATTCTAGGAATTGTATAGGCATTTTTTTCCAAAGGCATGCGGAATGTCCACAGGCATGCGGAATGTCCACAGGCATGCGGAATGTCCACAGGCATTTCTCTGACCCACATCTATGCCCACATACCTGGAACCCTGAAGACCTGTCTGCCCCAGATGGTCCTACATTCTGTGACCCCGGGGCTCGTTCACTATGCGCTCAGGGGAGGAGTGTACTGTATCTGTCTAGACTTAACCACAGAGACTTAACCAAAGTCCAAGTACCAAGTCTTCCTCAAAATCATGAAATGATGGCAGTGCCATGCAAACAATAACCCTAACAGCAACCACCGTCGCCATGGCAATGTATGTTTTCATTGCCAATTTAAATTAAGATTGGGTCGAATTTGTCACTGGCGATTTACAAACGGCAAGTTGTGGTGTACGAAAGAAACAGCGTGTTCGGGCGGAAAAGCTTTACCACATATCAAAGCGCGCTAATGCAGTCGAAACAGTGCATTCTTCGCAGTTTTCGGACGGAGACGTTTTCCTACATAACTGCTTGTTTGTACGTGAATCAGCGCATACTAGGATTGACACAGTTTTGGGACGGAGAAGTTTTCTGAAACTTGAAGTTTTCCGACAGGTTTCTGGGTAAAAGTTGGTGAAAATACACTTTCGAACGTGACAGCACTTAGCATATCGAAGCACTTTGGCGGAAAATGTTCCGACCTAAAACTGTGTCAAACCATTGACACACTTCAAAGTATGCATGGATTAGACTATATATCTAATGTGTCACGTCTATTTAAAGATTGCAAATGTTATACACTTTATACAGCCATGACGGTGCAAACTGTTTATAAGGTATATATTAATGCTTAATGTATATCACGCTAAACTTTTAGGATCGTATGACACAATCGTGTCGTATGACACACTTTAAAAGTACATGTATACACTGGTCAGACTGTATGTTTTTACCCACTTATGATTAAAACGTTTCTGTCCAAAACTGTGTCAATGATATGACACACTGTCAAAATATACATTGTTTAGACTGCATATTGAACTTATGACGGAAACTGTGCCAATAGTATGACACATTTTGAAAGTATTTCAAAGTTAACTCTTTGGAGTGTAAAGTTACGCATTAATTTTATCAAGGAAAAGTTTTCCGTCCACAAACTTTGTCAATGATATGACGCACTGAAAGTTAGTTTAGACTATATAGAACGCAGTTATAACGTAGAACTTTTCCGTCCGAAAACTGTCAATTGTATGACAGCCTGTTGTATATAAATCATAAGTGAGTGAATATACAGTCTAAACGGTGTATAATATTAAAGTTTTAAACGATTGACACCGTCACAGTTTTCTGATATAATATTTTTCGGTTATAAGTGAACGGATATTATACACGTTATACAACAAATGGATCAAAGGATTGACACAGTTTTCTGATAGCAAAGTTTTCGGTTATAAGTAGGCGGATATACACTTTATGCATTACAAGTGATGCAATTACAGCTGGATTTGATCATTTTATGAATATGGATTACTGTAATTTTTGTACACTTCACAGGGTCAACCCTGCAGGAAGTGGCCTGGTGGTAGAGCAGGTAACATTGAAAATAATAACCTCCAAACTTTACCTTTAGGCTGCAGCACTCAGACATTGACAAGTATAAATCACAAACTAAAAATATATATTATAGTTATATACGGTAATAACAGTCAAATTCGTTTTGCTGTTATACTTGTTTGACGTCTAATATCTTGCTAGACATGGTCTCTTGCAAAAAAAATTCACATACACTGAGTTATGCACTAAGGTGGACATGTCATATGTTTATTTTCTGCGTTTGCGATATGCAGTTTGTTGAATAGGGTATAGAATATCTAAAAGATGACTGGAAGTTTCAGTAACAGAGCTTAGCACATAATGCCATCTTAGATAGAGACCTAAGACGACGATCACTCCAGCATGTCGAAGTCAGTGACCGTAGTCCGTGATTCAAAGTCGACCCGGAAGTACATCTGATAAATGCCAGAACCGTAACACGGAAACCCCCATGCAGTGCGAAATCACACGAAAATCTAGGCCGAAATTAGGCATAAGGAGACATTTTGAAGGTCAACTTTGACTCTAGATATCTCATCTTTGATTGATTTTTGAGTCCTCAAAGGCACTGTAGGAGCTTGGGCAACTTGTCTCGATAACGAAGAACCATTTATATACTTGATCTGGCCTATTTTGACTTTACTATTGAGTTTTTCCGTGACCATGTCTTATGCCTCAAATCAAAATTTCCTGCCGCCGCCTCTGCTCTGAATGTTATCTCATAACTCTGGCCAATTTCTACTCTTTTTAGCCGCCTCCCGAAGCCTGGTAGAGGCTAGCTAACATCATCATCATCATCATCGGCAGTAGCTCGTTACCGAGCATAATTGTTCATGTCATATTCGTGGGCCCTCAATCGTTGGGGTGTCTATGACGTGTGTGGCTACTTAAACCTAGCCTGGTATGGAAGAGTTTGTGGCATTTTCTGCATGGCAGGGTAGGAGGTGGGCACGGGCGGAGAAGACGCTCCTTGCGTTGCTGTCTTTTGGCCTCAGCTTCAGCCCGGCGTTGATCCTCCATGTGAGCCGTCCCCTGCATCACAGTGCGTCGCCACTTGGCTCTGTCTTCTGCCAGGTGCTCCCAGCTGTCCTGGTCTATGGCGCAACGAAGGAGTGTGTCCTTCAGTTGGTCCCGGAAGCGGCGCCGAGGAGCACCTCTAGGTCTTGTGCCAGATTCAAGTTGGGAGAACAAGATCTGGCGGGGGAGTCTGGTTTCAGGCATTCTGCTGACGTGTCCTACCCAGCGAAGCCGGTGTCCTGCCACAGTGGTCTCAATACTGGGGAGGTTAGCTCGAAGAAGAACAGTCTCGTTGGAGACACGGTCTTGTCGTTTGATCTTCATGATCGCACGGAGTTTCTGCTGTTGGAACGACTCCAGTCTTTTTATGTCTCTCCTGTACAGGACCCATAGCTCAGAGCCATAGAGAAGAGTAGAGAGAACAATGGCTCTGAACACCGAGATTTTGGTCTGGAGGTTCAGGTCGTGATTCAGGAAGACACGTTGTAGGGAGCTAGCTAACAATGTGATGTTTAAAACATTGCGATATACTGAACACTGTTCAGTATATCGCAAAAGTGAACACAACCAAGTGTCAGTCAGAAGTTGCACTAAAACGTTCCTTGTATAAAAAGGGTCTCCTCATTTAGCGACTTACGAGTCCAATGGAACTATACACGGATTGCGACATACTGAAGCACGGGGAAATAATCAG